AATTATCAAGTGCATGCATGATTCAAGATGTGTAGACAAATAATCAATTCTTCCCCTGAAGGCTTCTTAATACTGTCCAAACTGAAAAGTTATACATGCCAAAAAATTAAAAGACTCAGTAGATATTTTTTGTCTAGCATCTCTAATTAAAATTTGAAAGGATGGAAAGCAAACCATTAAGAGCTTTGAGAATAATTTAATTACAGGGCGTGAAATTAACTTTTTTTTCTGATAGCCACTTGGCCCCTAAATTCTTCAAAGTGGTAGCCAATTCAAAAAAAGTTGGTCGCCATTTTCAAAGACAAACAAAATCTTTCTTTACGCTGTCAGCGTTCTAGACAGACCCTCCAAAATTAAGTTAGGGAAAAGATCAGTAACGTGCTACAAAGTGGACACTAGGATGGATGATATACAACGTTCAGGCTAATCTAAATCCAAGATGGCGTCCAGTTATCAATCGAGATGCATGTGCCACGTTTTGGAAACAAACTTAAAGTGAAAGTTTGCCGCGGATTTATCTTTGCAAATCTTCTTAATTCACTATATCTCTTGGTAAGGTTATGATGAAACGTTCTAGTCGCCAATTTGGCGACTAACTTTCAGGATTTGGTCGCCAAAGTGAAAAATTTAGGCGCATTGGCGCCTGTATTAGGCGCAATTTCACGCCCTGAACTACCAGAAGAAATTAACATGTAACTTCTCCCAAGAATATCCAATACATTATCTCACAAACAGTTTATGAGAACACTAAAACTTATTAGGTACATGTAGTTGTTATAATGATCTAACAACAAATTCTTGTTATTAATTTACAGGAAAATGTCTGGCAGCAAGAGGAGAGAATTAATAATCAGATCTTGGACTTTGAAACCAACCTGGGGGATTTCCTTTGAACCAAGTGCCCTGGGGCCATCTCTTGCCATAAAACTACGGTAGCCAGACTTTTTCTTTTCCAGTGAGGGTGGAATTTCAGCCACTTCCTCTGATTTTGACACCTTTGGTGTTCCTTTGATTGGAGTTTCCTTATCGACATCTTTTTTATCCTTTTTTGGAGTAACAGTTTTCTTTGGACTTGGTTTTGAGTCTCTAACTGGAGTTTCTGGAACTGTAGCAGCTTTGGCAGCCAGTTTGCTGGCAGGAGTTGTCTTTGGTACTTCCTGAAAAGTCCATGGATAAGTGAACAAAAGTTACATGTATATTAAACATTCTAACAGCTAAGAGTTGTCCTCATGAGGTAAGAGTTGACCCAAATAGGAATGTTGATAGTGAAAGACACTGCTGCTTTGAAAAATGGAGACAAAGTGGTAACATCTCCTGGATTGTCAAAGTTAAAATCAACAAGAATGTACCTGAAAGTTTTGTCACCATTGTTACTGTTTTTAGTATAAATTCCAGGTACAATAATGGTAGTATTTTGAGTAGTGTTAGTATTGTAAGTAATGTTTTGT